GACGACGACCACCTCGTCATCTCTGGCGGGAAGACGCAGCGCTGCTGCTCCGTCCTGCTGCGCGGAGCTAACCACCACATGCTCGACGAGGCTAACCCTGACCCTGACCCTAACCCTGACCCTGACCCTGACCCTGGCCACCACATGCTCGACGAGTCTAACCCTAACCCTGACCCTGACCCTGACCCTGACCCTAACCACCACATGCTCGACGAGGCGAGAGGCGGAGATGCAGCCGGCATGCGGCCGGGATCCGCCACCATGCCACCCCCTCGATCACCCCCACCCTCCCCTGCCCCACCCCCCTCGCCCACCCCCCTTCCAAACCCCTCGCCTCTCCCCTACGAAGGTGGACCGCTCGCTCCACGACGCCCTCTGCGCCGTCAAGCGGGCCCTCGAGTCCGCCTCCGTCGTCCCGGGCGGCGGCTGCGTCGAGTCCGCCCTCTCCATCTACCTCGAGAACTTCGCTACCACGCTCGGCTCGCGGGAGCAGCTCGCCATCGCAGAGTTCGCAGAGGCGCCGCCCTCCGCAGCCTCCGCCGCCCCCTCCGCCCCCCCCCATGACCCCCTCCCGCACGACACCCTCCACGACTCCCCGGCCCCGCACCGCAGGCCCTCCTCGTCATCCCGAAGCAGCTCGCCGTCAACGCCGCGCGCGACGCGACCGACATCGTCGCAAAGCTCCGCGCAAACCACAACGCCGCGCAGACCGACTCGGCGAAGGCGGAGCTGCGGCGGTACGGCCTCGACTGCGTGAGCGGCAAGATTCAAAACAACCTGACGGCGGGCATCATCGAGCCGGCCCTGTCCAAGGTCAAGATGATCCAGTTCGCGACCGAGGCGGCCATCACCGTGCTGCGCATCGACGACATGATCAAGCTCGCGCCCGAGGAGCAGGGGCAGCCGGGCATGTAAACATCACGCGCGGATTGGGCTGGGCCTCGCGGCTCTGCTCTATACCACCCGGTGGTCCCGGGTGTGCGGGCAGGCCCCCCACTGCTCAAGAGCCAACGTGCGCGCCACATCTCTTTATGTCTGTCTTGTCTATTCTTGGTTGGACTCATCTCTGGTTACTGGTATACGTTCAAAGCGCGGCGCGGATTGCCCAAAAAAACGGTGCGGGTTTCAAAGGCAAAACAGAAATCACATCGCTCTGCGGTGTTGCTGTCGGCACACCTCGCTCCTCGCGAGTCGCGTCGCCCCCCGCCAGCAGTGCAGCACACGATGGGAGACGGTGTTTGCGCTGGGTCCTAAAAAAGGTTCCTTCGCCATGCGCGGTCCTCGCTGACCCTGCCAAACTCTCTCGCCGCCGTTCGCGGCTCGGCTTGCGTATGCGGTTGGGAGCTTCGAGGACATGCAGGCGTCCCGCCCCCTCCGGTCATCCCCCCCGGCTCGGCCGCGACGCGCTGCGCACCCTCTTCCGCGCTGCGCCCGCTCTCGGCATGGCCGTCGTCCGCCGAGATCACCTCCTCTTCGCGTCGCAGGTGCACAACCAAGGGCTGGCCATCTCCGTATCCATCATGGTGAAGCCAATGGGCCAAAAATGGAGGGAGCGCCCCTCCCAGGTGGCCGGAGGGTACACCTCGGGTCGGCGTGCTGGGGGGGCGCCGGTGCGCAAGCCCACTTTCCGGGCGACCCCGAGGGGGAGGAGGCCGGGCGAATGGCGGCAACTCATTGTTAGTGTCCCGGGCCGCTGCGGCACCGTTTATACGGCCCCTCGTGATGTCTTTCCGATTTTGTATTGTGAGTCGTCCTCTGGCCAGCCGAGGGGCACCAGAACGGCATGTGTACTGCTGCTGGCTGCGGGCGCGGAATGGGCTTTTTTTAACTCGCAACCAAGTATACTATATAAGGACACCCTCGGGGGGGACACTCGGCGCATGTGCGACACGTCAGGGTGGAGTTGGCGGTGGCCGAGCGTCGTCTCCCGATCGACTCGCAGCGGAGTCGAGGGGTGAAGCGCGTCGCGCTGCGACACTCGAGAGCCGGCGGGATGGCCGTGGGGCGCGGCCGACTTTGATGCCCTCGAAGGTCCAATGCGCAATCGTTCTGTGAGACCCACGCGTACAGGAAAGGGGGCGGAGACGCGCCATTCTGCTGGTACCTTTTTTGGGACCCATCGCTCCCGCGTTCCACACAGTGCAGGGAATCGACCCTCTATAATTTGGCTGCGTTTGGGCCACTACCCGCCTCTACGCTTGGGGGGGTGCGTGATCTTGGCGCCAGGCGGTTTTGCCACGCCACACTTCCGGCAAGACGAGCGCGCCTCCCACGAGCGCGTGCCACAGCTGCGACAAACCCAGAACGGGTCCCCCGGCTTGCCCTTGTACTTGCCCTTGCTCTCTGGCTCAGGCAGCGAGTTGCCGCCAGCCTTGCCTCTGCCCGGCTCTGGACAGGCGGCCCCTAGGCGGCCAAGCACGCCGCGGGCGGGGGCGGCGACCGCCTTCCCACCAGGCAGCGGGAGCCATTGTGTGGCGGTGGCCTCGCTAGACGGCTTGCACTTCACGGCCACGCGCTTGGGCGCCTGCCTAGACTCCTTTGGCGGCGGCGCAGACGCCTTCCGCTTGCGCTCATGCTTCGCGCCGCTGGGCGGCGGCGCGGCGGCGGCAGTGGGCGCACCAGCAGCAGTGGGCGCGGCGGCAGTAGCTGGAATCGCGTCGAGGTCGACGAGTGGGATCATCGAGTAGCCGCCGTCGGCGCGCGACTCGCGCACTAGCTGCTCTCCCCCAGACGAGCCAGGCACAGCTGCAGGCGCCGCCGCCGCCGCCGCCGCCGCCGCCGCCACCGCCTCCGCCTCCGCCTCTGCCTCCGCCGCCGCCGCCTCCGCCTCCGCCGCCGCCGCCGCCGCCGCCGTCGGCGGCGGTGCCCCGCCTGCGGGTGCAGCTTCAACACTTTGACTGGCGCCCACACCGCCGGCACCAGAGCTGCCACCGCCAGAGCCGCCGCCGCCGCCAGCAGTGCCGCCGGGTCGCGCCTCCGCGTACGCCTCGACGGTGTGGCCTCTGAACCGCGAGCCGTCGAGCTTGCTCCTCGCAAAGGCGAGGTCGCTCGGCGACGCGAACTCGACCACGCCGCGCTGCGAGCCGTGCCCGGAGAGCTCGACGGAGACCTGCAACACCTCGCCGATCCGGCGCATCTCGTCGCGCAAGCCTTCACGGCTCAGCGCGATCGGCAAATTCTGAAGGATGAGCCGGTGCCCGCCACCACCGCCATCGCGATTGCCCACATCGCAGGGGCCGCCGCCCCCGCTGCTGGCGGCCTCTGGCCCGCCGCTCACACCCGCGCCGCCACTGCCTCCGCCCTCGCCCCTGCTGCTGCTGGCGCCCTCGCGCCGCAGCTCGTCCAAGACGCTGCCCCTGGCGATGGCTGGCGGCGGCACCGCGGCTGGCGGCGGCACCGCAGCGGGAGCAGCGGCGGCGGAGCATGAAGCGCTCTCGCCGCTGCTGGCGGCCTCTGGCCCGCCGCTCACACCCGCGCCGCCACTGCCTCCGCCCTCGCCCCTGCTGCTGCTGGCGCCCTCGCGCCGCAGCTCGTCCAAGACGCTGCCCCTGGCGATGGCTGGCGGCGGCACCGCGGCTGGCGGCGGCACGGCAGCGGGAGCAGCGGCGGCGGAGCATGAAGCGCTCTCGCCGCCGCTGGCGGCCTCTGGCCCGCCGCTCACACCCGCGCCGCCACTGCCTCCGCCCTCGCCCCTGCTGCTGCTGGCGTCCTCGCGCCGCAGCTCGTCCAAGACGCTGCCCCTGGCGATGGCTGGCGGCGGCACCGCGGCTGGCGGCGGCACCGCAGCGGGAGCAGCGGCGGCGGAGCATGAAGCGCTCTCGCCGCCGCTGGCGGCCTCTGGCCCGCCGCTCACACCCGCGCCGCCACTGCCTCCGCCCTCACCCCTGCTGCTGCTGGCGCCCTCGCGCCGCAGCTCGTCCAAGACGCTGCCCCTGGCGATGGCTGGCGGCGGCACCGCGGCTGGCGGCGGCACGGCAGCGGGAGCAGCGGCGGCGGCGGAGCCCGAGTCAGTCCTCTGCCGCGCCGCCTTGGCTCGGGCAGCTGGCGGCTCACCCAGCCTCGACTGAGACGCGCTCTCCTCCTCGCCCTCGCTCGCTGCCGCCTCTCTCCTCTCGCTGCGCAGCTCAGCCAGCACGCTGCCTCGGGTGAGGGCTGCGCGTGGGCCTGCATCCGCCCTGAGGCGGCACGTCTCCGGCCCAGCTTCCGTCTCCAGCCCAGCTTTTTCCGTGGCGGTGAGTGGCGCGCCTGCCGCCGTGTCGGCGGCCTGCGCCTCGGCCTGCGCCTCGCCCCACTCTTGCGGCGCTCGCCTCCACGCATTTACCCGCGTGTCCTTGCCATTCTCGACCTGCGTCTCCCGCCGCTGCAGCCGCTGCGCCGCCGCCATAACCTCGCCGGAGAGGGCGGACCCGCCACCGCCACCGCCACCGCTGCCGCTGCCAGCTGCGCCCCCGCCACCACCGCTGCTGCTGCTGCTGCTGCTGCTGCTGCTGCTGCTGCTGCTGCTGCTGCTGCTGCTGCTGCTGCCGCCACCGCAGCTACTCTTGTGGCACCGGCCGGGGCCAGCAGCGACCTGAGGCGGTGGCTGCGCCGCTGCCACCGTTGGCAACGCTGCTGGCTGCTGCGGCGCGGACTTGGCCTCTGCTGCCGCCACGCGCATGGCCACGCGAGAGGCCGCCGCCGCCGCCGCCGCCGCCGCCGCGGCCGCGCGTGGCGGTGGCGGTGGCGGCGGTGGCGGCAATCCTGACGGCAGCCGCGAGAGTGGCGGCGGTGCGGGAGGGGCCGGCGGTAGTGGCCGCAGCTGCGGCTGTGGTTGTGCTGGCCGCAGCGCCGCGGGCGCTAGCACTGGTGGCGGCGGCACGTGCTGCTGAGGCGGCGGCGGCGGCGGCGGCGGCGGCGGCGGCGGCGGAGGCGGCCGCGACTGCGGCGGAGGCG